TCCATGCTCTTCACGTGGACGTCATGAGAATCAAACGCATTCCCCGCGGAAGGATTCTTTTCAACCACCGCTCGTTGTCTGAAAACATTGTGCGAGGCATTGAGAATGCCATCGAAAGCTCCATCAGCACGGACCCGGGGGCGTGGGATAGGCTCGAGCTCTTGCTTGCGCCAGTTGACCGCAATGACATTGTCGGCGGCCAGGGAAGACGGATCACGCCGACCGAATTCTTGGAAAGGGACCCGACAGAGTTCGACTGGTACGCTGTCTGTGGTCAGCATATCGTTGAGGCCATGAAGAGATAGGTCAGAAAGGGCTCACCGACAGTTAAAGTTTATGGCCTCAACGCATACTCTAAGGTGCGGGTCGTCTATTTCGAAGATGATCGAATACGAGGGTATTTCAATGTCTTCTGCTTTGACAACACACGCGAAAATCGCTCCATGATGTTGTCATTCAAGGACGCTGTCCGTGACATCAGGCAAAGGTGGATAGACAACAATAGAATCAAGGCCCCCAAACCCAAGGTCAACGAGAAGGATGAGGTGGTCGTTGCACATCAGAAGACGTGGCAGAACTTCTTGAGGGCCTGCATGGGGAAGGCATGCGACAAGGCGTTTGTAAATCAAGCTCTCGAGAATGAGTACAGTAAGGATTGGAGTAATAAACTCTGGGGCTACATGAACCTCGCCACATCCTGTGTCGCAGTGTGGCCGCTGGTCGAGAGGTTCTTCGAGATGTTCAACGAAGGAAAGCTGCTAGTTAGCGATGGCAAAATCCCGCTTGACATGCCCGGGAGGATGGAAGGCCGCTTGCCAGGCCCGTACACCGGCGAGACCAAGGGACAAAGAACATTGTACCATTGCATATATGCAATAGATGGTTCCAAAGGCTCCACCGTGTTGTGGAAGGATCTTTGTCCTTCCTACTTCAAAAATTTTGAGGATTTGACATGTCGTGAGAGGGAAGTTGCATTGCTCTTGCTCATGAAGGGGAAGGTGGTCGCAACGAACGTCAAGGTCTTGCCTCCAAGAGTGAACGTCAAGGTCCTGCCTCCAAGAGTGAACACAGAGTGCTTCCTCGACATCATGCGAAAGGAGCGGTACAGGGTGCGTATGTTCAACTATGTTCTGTTTCGCGTCGAGGGAAGGGCGGACGACGAATGGAACGACGCGTTCTTCATGTCGTACAAGGACCTTGAAGACAGGTATGGGCCAAACGGTCTGTGCGCTGCTGAATGGGAGAAGGAACGGGACAAGTTACATGTCAATAAGGTGAAGATGGTCCCTCGACGACTTGGAGGAGTGGAGGAGGCAAGGCAAGGTGCGGGCTTGGGGCGTACGGCGGCAATGTATAAGGAGGCTCCGTTTCACCTTAAGGTCTTCATATACACTGCAATCGATAAGCTCGATTTGCTTCGCGCCGAGGTGAAACGGATCGCCTCCAGCGCGCGTCATATTGTGTGGGACAAGATTGGCAAACAAACGACATTGCTACGTGTGTGCATGCCATCGAAGGAAGTGTTGGCAGCGCCAGACGACATCGTCGCTGCAGCGCAAAAAATGGCATGCAGGGCCACCATCGTGGACATCCCATCCTCGAACTTCAGCATGGCGTGGACCTCTCACGAATTTGATGCCTTGCACACATTGATGACCAAGTGTTGTGGCCAAAATGGGGTCCTTTTCTTCTTTGCGCCGCAGAAGGTGCAAAGCGATGTTCTGCGTCACTTGTTCCGCTGGGAGGACGTCGAAGTCATCCCCGGGACTTGGAAACGGGTGGACAGGCCACCGAACGACATCACACGATACGGCAATATGGCTACGACGAGTCGAGATATGATGACCATTGTCCTTCACGCCAACGGAGGGGATCTGAAAAAAGTAACTGTCAAACCCCGACTCCACAACGACCTCACAACCGTGCACGTTGTGGAAGAGAAGTTCGAGAAGTGTCAAGGAAAACACGGTGGGATAGAGGGCGATGATAGTGCGGTGTATCCCATCTGGGAGCGAGAGCCTGGAAAGTTACGTTCGTTGTGCGGGTCATTTGTCGGAGAGGCGGAAGGTGTGTTTTTGTTGGGTAGAGCGCACGCAGGTCTTGTGTGGGAGTTATTATTGGCAGGTAATAATGTCATTGTCTGCGACGAGTCGGCCAAGGACATTGCATATCTAACAAAGTTCGTCGATATACTTGTGAAGGATGAGAGATTCGCCTGTCATGTCGAGAAGCCACGTTGCAAAGATCGTAGCAACAGGGACATGTTCCACAAGTTGGGACGCAAGAGACTGAAGGTGTGGGAATACCTGTTCCGCGATGCGCCGCAAGGACGCCTTGACGGGAATTACATCTACAGGAAAGCAAAGGTAACAGAGACCCTGAAACATTATCACGGTGCTCTTACTGGCGCCTTTGAGACTTTTGTCGCTCGATGCGAGATCCTGAAGTTCGATCTTCATAAAGACCAGCTGATGTCCAAGGACTACGCTGACCTCGCGAAATCGGGTGACGGATTTAACCCCATCGACAACGAGGAAGACTCTTCGGGGTCCGACCTCGAATTGGGCAATGGCAAGGGTGGTGAAGGTCCGGGCGGTGGCATGGTGCGGTCACACGATGAAGGGACCGTTCGCTCGCATGAAAGACCCGTACAGGTGGCCGGCCACAGTATTGGCTCGATGGTGGCCCCCATGGAGGGCACCGGTTTGCCAAACATGGGAATATGTGGTCCCAATGATGAAGATGACATTGATATGCCAGGCGAGGCGTCGAAGCTCGCACCAGGCGATCCAATTCCTCCCGGCTATTGTGCTGATCCGACCACAATTTATTTCTTGGAGGGCAAACACGCACGCACTAGTGAGGACAAGTGGGGTCATGACATCGTGTGGCATGAGGGCATTTTTTAGCCCTGCATCCAAGATAGGGAGTGGAAGATGGCGGTCAAATACACACGCGGATGGCAGACGTTTCGTCGGATGTCAAAGGACACTTGGCTGAAAACGACGGAACTCGCGATTATGTACCACGTGCAAAAGGAGAATCCGGGGCAAAGCGAGGGCGCTGTCAAAGACAAGGCCAAAGAATTGTTTTCTGTATTGCGAGACAATCAGCAGTTGGAGTACAGTTGGAGATTTTACGCCCTGCGAATGAGTCCCTCATGTGGGTCAATCGACTGGAAGGTCAATCAAACTATCGGAACCATGGAGGAGAGCAGCTCTCAGGATGCCGTGCCTTTGTCGGCATCGCGCCCCGTACCCATGCAGACAGGGCAGAGGGAGGATGACGGGAGTAATGTGGTGAAGACTCAAGAGGTTCACATGACGTCTATGCCGCAAATCTCTGTCAACATGACAAAACCGTCCAAACGTATGGATGTGTCAAATGCATTGTCGTCAGATGCAGGTGCCACGTACGGGAGTTTATTACTGACATGCACCGCATAAGAAGGCACATCCGAAATACAGTCAGAGTCAGGTGTTGGCCTGAGCGTGCCGGACAGTCAGTTGCAACCGGAGTTATGCACAGGCAAAGGTGATGCACAAGTACATCTGACACCACAGGGAGGGGCCGCTGCGGATGGTGGGAAGGGAGGGGATGTGGAGGGAATCCTCTATCCTCGCAATCTTGAGACCTTAACTGATGATTTCGACTATGGGGGTGAGGGTGGAAATGACGTGGTCAATACGAGGGGAGTGGGAAATCATCGGTGAGGCGGGAGGGGGGCAATGGAGAGGGAGAAACCAACGATATGATTACAATGTTATTCTTTTCTTTGTTAATTGAAATCGCACAATTGACTCGTTTGTTTTTAGTTTCAAATGGAACTAGTATTA